TACTATGAATTGAGAATGCCTAAATGCATTAAGATCATAGATTGCATAACAGTATTCGCGGTGCGATAATTGAAATAAAGAATGCCTGAATGCATTAATATTATCGCAGGTGAAAAGGAGGAATAAGTAAAATATAAATATGATAATGATAAAGAATGTACAGTATAATGATTGATACATGCGGGGAACTACATGTTTGCCCGGTTGTTAATTTGAGCTCTGATCTAATGACCATGAAGTGTGATTAATGAATTTTAGGGATAACATTATAAGGTTATTCATAAATGGATGTTTATTGTTTAAAGGAGATGTGCGGTCCATTGCTTTAAGATATATATAACAACTAATGCTTTTAATATTTGGGTCAGCAGCGTTAGTGGACTTGAAAGTTAATATCCTTTCGGGGAGATACAGTCCGGTGCACAGAAGAGACCCACTCAAATGGCTAACATTTTAATGCACATCTCCCGGTAATTTAAGATAAGAAAACAGGTGTAAATAATTAATTGATCGATATGATAAGATGTAAATAATAATCTAATATGATATTATATAATCTATATAATCAATTAATATTATGTGTGTATACAATAATATACTAAAATGAAAATATATCGCATGAAATACACAACTACCTCAAGCACCATAACTGAGATGCTTTGTAAAGGGCATATATTGAAAGTTAAAGACCATCATTTATAGATGGCTTAATAAATTTTAAGATGATAAGTGATAAGTTGAGAAGTTAAGGTTGCAAGATGAGGATGTACATATGATAATGCATCATGTCATATAGTAGTTGCATGATATCATTAATAATATTATTATATTATAATCTAATAAAATACTAATACTATCAAAAATGAAATAAAAATACTAATATGTGTGAAACATACAATAATTATATTAATCTTTGGATGATCTGATCTGATCTGATGCCGATGATCCATTGATGCCTAGGAGAAGATGGCGACGATGACGATAGATGTCACTGCAATATTCAACTAGCAGCTGATGTATGGAAATTCGCGTTAAACTGGATTTCCGTTTGGGTTATATAATATATATGGACGCTCTCCAGTGCAGTATATACCCAACGACATCTATACAATGGGGATAATACATGTGAATATAGAGACACCAGTTATTTGTGCCTATTTCACGAATGCTTAGGAGAGAGAGAATTTATTAAACTTGTGAATATAGAGACACCAGTTATTTGTGCCTATTTCACGAACGCTAAAGAGAGAATTTATGAAACTTGTGAATATAGAGACACCAGCTACTATAGTGCCTATTTCACGAACGCTAAGGAGAATACAGAGGTGAATCTAGAGACGTTAATAAATGCCTAGATTTGCGGACGATGCAGAATATTAACAGCCAAGCGAGACTATATTATAATGACGCGGAATGATATTTATATAAACGCTGAAGCAGTGATATATAATTACCGTCAACAACAAGTGATATATGAACGCTGAAAGCAGAGTTGATAGCACATATATCAAGAGACGCTCTATAGCGCAGCCAAGAGAGATGCTCTACAATACAGCCTAAATGAAGAGGATATGAGACATTTTATATGCCATATCAGACAATTGATTTATATGATAATGACATATTTTAGTGGGGCACTAAAATTTAAGGAGGGGTGGTTGTTACCACTCACTTTTTGACATTAATTAGTCAATTAATTAATTTATAATATCATTTAATATCATTGATATTCATTTTGATATCATTGATATTTATACCAATATTGTAAAGAATCTAATAGTAATTGTTACTATTTTGTATTATGTTGGTTCAACCAGGTAGCAGTCGATGGAGTTAATATTTGATTGACACCTGAGATTGTACTTGATAACTTGATACTAGTTTAAACCGGTTGAGCTAATTATAGTACAAGATTCTATTTTTAAGCTTATTCTGTCAGGTGGAACTAATATATCAGTAACCGCTTTTAGCAGGTTTTGAACAGGTTTCTGATGCAATATGTGTGGGCGATTGTGCAATTATTGCACAACTTTTGCCTGTTATTGCGCAATCCTGACAGAATGATTTATGTTATTTTACTTGTATATAAGCAACCACGGATTCACAATCAAACATTCTGAATTCTGGATTGGGATCACCTTCTGAAACATTCAACATTTGGATCACAACTACTATATTCTAGATTCATATTTTGGATCGCACAATCTGATGTTCTAATACGGGATCACCTTCGCGGATACTCTTGAGTTGGGAACACAACAACACTTAGAGGCGAGAATTATCTCAAAGACGTCCAAGATTGTGAATCCAGGTTGCAGATGAAAGCATAAATAAAGAATAAATAAGTTACAACAGCATTTGTTAATCGTTATCGAGATGAGATACCTGTGAGTACCGGAAACCTACAAGATCCCGGAATAATCGAACATCGATCACGTAACCGTCACGGGTGATTGGGTTCATAATGATATACAGGCTTAAGTCAGTGGGTCAGACTATTAACCAATGAGGGTAGCTTAAGTTTTTTTAATATGCAAATCGTTTAGAAGCTTTAGATGGGGTTTTATTCTTCATGATGCTATTTGTAGCAGAAGATCTACTTCAATTTAATAATTAATGTGACAATCTATAATCAGTATATCGCAAAGATTAACTGCTCATTGAAAAGCGCGTGTTATCTTATAAAAATAGTGACATTAAAGTCTAAAAAGACAACCCATCGGGGGAGTACAGATATTGGATGTAAAATCTTAAAATTAAAGATAAACAATGGGGGGAGTGCAGACATTGGAAGAAAAAGCCAGAAGATACAGTACACAAATTTCCAAACTTCACACCATGACTTGCCGTCAGGCCGGGACGTCAGGATCGCTTGTTTATGGTGTTTATAGATAGAATTCACTTTGTCTGAACGTTTAGTTCATTTCTAGTTACTTTATCAGTAAATAATTGCCCCGATGAGCCCGAAGTGCACACGCAAACATGCTGTTCGGACCAGCTGGCATGATCTAAGCTTTGAAAGTATGCATACTGTACTTCTCTTGGTCTACATTTAATAAATATTGCACGGCCTAGTGCTATACCTATTTATTTTTTCATTTCTCGTTTCCTCTGCAATCGTTGATAACAAACAGAAAATGGAAATATTTTTAAGTTGAACCTCCGGATAAATCTGCATCCAACAATTTATTGTTACTTTAATTTAACAATGTGCTGAATAATTTGTTTAATTTGGGAAGAGGTCCGGGACTTCTAGACGTAAAGTCTGCCAGTTATGAATCGAAATTAAATCGTAAATAAATAAAAATACAATTGAACAAAAGACTAATAAATGCTTTTCATTGATTCTCACACTTTGAAACATTGACAATTTTATCAAAAAGTACTTAGGATGGAGGTATATTTGAATTTGCGGCCAGGCATCTTTGTAATGGGCGATAATAAAAAATAACCTAGCGACAATTAACGTTCCCGCACGTCGATTAAAATGTTACACGTCAACTGACGCGATTGGTTACACATGCGCAATTGAAAAAGATAGAACGTCAATTAACGTAGTATCCGTCAATCAACTACAACGACGTTAATTGACGAGATAAACTGAGAAACCATGACATCAATAATATAATTTTAATCCAATGTGGATGTACACCATTGATTTTAATATGTAAGGGATTTAATATTGCATGCTTCTTTAAAGTCATAACTGTGGTTTGATATAACAGATACACTGTACAATTTCTCTGAAAAAATAATGTTCATACATTAGAATAATGTACTTGTGGTAAGATTTTTTAATTTTTAAAATTATTTTTCCTGCCCCTGGCAGGCCCCCGACAGCCTCCCGGCACAATTTCCACCACAAACTGCCCCCAAAATCTCCCCTTGTCACAACCCCGGCACTTTAATAATGCCGACCCCGTCAACCCTGCCGACCCCAAAATGTTAAATTCCCATTGAGAATTTTTTTGCCCTTAGCAAATTGACAACCCCCGGTCGCCGGCAAACCCCGGAGCTTTTCGCAAGGTCTATAACATGAGCATTGAAATAATTTCACAAGCTTGGGTGTAATACAGTTCCTTGTGTGGGAATCAATATACTTGCATTTGATAAAAATGACCATTTTTCTATTTGTTATGGAAATTCATACTCATTACATCTTTAACTGACTTATTCTTTCTCATTTATTGTCAAAGTTCTTATAAATCATTGGTGATTTATGCATAAATCATAAAATTATGGGAATGTTCTTACCTCACATGTGTGTTAGAAGTCCTCCATTTTGTTTCTTAATTCAATTGACCAATGAAAACAAAGATTACAAATATGCAAATTTGATAAAGATATGAGGTCTCTGATTGGTTTTCAGTGAATGCTCCTTCTCCAATCATAATCTAGTACAGAGATGTAATAGAGGAGGGCAATTTGAAAATTTTGTGGAGTCATGGACAAATAATGGACATAGTCCATTTATGGACACTTAGACACTTCTTGTGTGGCAATCCCTGAAAATCCAAAATACCACAGTAGATGGGTTTTTACACCCATTGAGAGCTTTTGTAATGTGGATAACCACACAAAAAAATTAACCACAGAAGCTATTTATTTTACTACCCAAACAACCACAAATACCCCCATTCAAGAACACGTACGTACGGACGGACGGACGTACGTACGGACGTACGTACGTACGGACAGACGGACGGACGGACGGAGGCGTTCCCTATATCCCTCCGAACTTCGTTCGATGGGATAACAACTGGTTTCTAATGCAGCATTAACAACTGGTTTCTAATGCAGCATTAACAACTGGTTTATAATGCAGCATTAACAACTGGCTTATAATGCAGCATTAACTCTTGATTAAAACATTCATTAAATGCATTGGTACAACAGGAAAATTAAGTGTAGCAAAAAACAGCTGCTTGCTATAAAACAGCTGAATGAAACAAAAACAGCTGGTAAGATGCTGAGTGGTGCTTAGAGGGTTAGTTGCTTACTGTGACGGATCTTTACATGCAGCCCGATCAGATTCATCAATTGGAAACCTACAAAATAATCCAGTTCTACATGGTTTGAGGAAGGCTTGCAATTAGTAAGAGATAGCGCAGTTTGCTAATAGTATCACACAAGATTGTGCTGTACATGGGACGAATAGCAAATTTGGGGGGTTGGCCCATATGTAGATTTCTATGCAATTTCTCTATTGTTATTTTTACATATTAGTGTGTTTAGTATAGGCTAAGCAATAAGGGTGTCACGAAACAAATAATACACAGAAAAATATATGTATTGATGTGGTTCTGGAACATAAAAAATGAGGGAATTAACGTTTTGTCATTTAGTTCTTGATCCAAAAGGGTCAGAGCATGGCCTTAATTTTGTGGCCTTGAGTATGAAATATCAAAAAATATCCAATTTAACTTGGCTTGTTCGGCCATACTTAGTTAAAATTACTTTCAAGACATCTAGGCCATCAGCCTGGGGGGTTGGTCGGTATCAAATTAGGGGAATAAACGCCATAGTGATTTTTGGGAAGGTAAAGACCTCTAGAGTAAGAAAATATGTGATAGCATTGCAACAGTTGTAGCTAAATGGGTGTTATCACCCATTTTTCAAAATGGCTGCCGGTGCACATGTTACAATATAAGAGTGGATATATCTAAGCACACTGAGATGCAAAAACTGTGATTTTAGGACCTATGTGTAGGTTTTAGGGGTCAATGACTTCATTTATGTCTAAATCTAAGTCATCAAACAATTGTTTCTTATAGAAATCCAAGAAGGCCACCAAAATGGGTGCAAAAACGAATGTGTAACTACTGTTAATGCTCAAGAAACACTTACGAACAGTGATTTTGGAGCCCATGTCTATGTTTTAGGGGTCAAGGATTTGATTTATGTCTAAATCTGAGTCATCAAATAATTACTTTTAATAGAAATCCAAGATGGCCACCAAAATGGATGCTAAATCTAATATGTACATTTTTCAAAATGGCTATCGGTGCACATGTCACAATATAAGAGTGGGTATATCTAAGCACACTGAGATGCAAAAACTGTGATTTTGGGACCTATGTTTAGGTTTTAGGGGTCAAGGATTTCATTAATGTCTAAATTTAAATCATCAAACAATTACTTTTTATAGAAATCCAAGATGGCCACCAAAATGGATGCCAAAATGAATATGTAACTATTGATTTAAGCTCAAAGAACAGTTAAGAACAGTGATTTTGGAGACCATATCTAGGTTTTTAAGGGTCAGGATTTGACTTATGTCTAAATCTTATTCATCAAACAATTACTTTAAATAAGAATTCCAAGATTGCCACCAAAATGGATGCCAAAATGAATATTGAACTATTGATTTAAGCTCAAAGAACAGTTAAGAACAGTAATTTTGCAAGTACTTGGCTGTGTTTTAGGGGTCAAGGATTTCATATATGTCTAAATCTAAGTCATCAAACAATTACTTTATATAGAAATCCAAGATGGCCATCAAAATGGGTGCCAAAATGAATATTTAACTATTGATTTAAGCTCAAAGAACAGTTAAGAAGAGTGATTTTGGAGACAATATCTGGGTTTTAGGGGTCAACGGTTTCATTTATGTCTAAATCTGAGTGATCAAATAATTGCTTTTCATAGAAATCCAAGACCAGGTCACCAAAATGGGTGCCAATAACAAGTTAATTTTGATTTAAAGTAATTTGGAACGGATGAAATGTTAGTTCAACCTACATATGAATAAGAAAAACTGAATCCCAAAGCACACTGGTACATATAAACATCGTTTTTACTGACCTTGGTTGTGTTTTGACTTCACAATTCAGCGTTTTCAACAGAAATAAATTTGCTCACACTTGCACATTGTTGGGGATTCCCTAGTCAAAGGTCATGTGACTAATAATCAGAACGAGGCTATGACCTATGAGCTATTCCAATTGGGAGGTTAGGAGAATTTTTTCATATTCTAGGTTCCACTTATTTCTGACGGTTTTCTAAACAATCACTGAATCTCTTTCTTGCTAAAGAATAACTATTATATCAGGAACACATAATTAATAAAACATTATGTAATCACTATGTACAGAACAAGAAAATTACTCTTTTCAAAAGTAGGTCACAGTTTCTCCCAAGTTTTATATGCAATATTGCTCTGAACGAAATGCAAGAAAATGTGTAAATAAACATACTTTGGTGACGTCATCAACTTGAGTGCAAAATTCAAGTGGACGATGTGAAATCAAATTCAATGTACCCACTTCAATATGAGAAATCTCCGCTATCCTTGAGTAATATGAGCTGAAGTTACCCCAGTAGCAAGGTAAGACATTGCTCTTCGTGTGATATTCAATAGATTTTGCTAAAAATGCCTTTAACGAAGGCCATATCACTTTAAGCTCAAAGAACAGTTCATAACAGTAATTTGAGACCATGTCAAGATTTTTGGTGTCAAGAATTTCAGTTATGTCTGAAACTATAACTAATTCCTTTATCTGGATCCAAGATGGCTTCCAACATTGCTGCCGAAGTGAAAATAAGATTTATTATCTAAACATATAGAGGAGTTAGAACATTAATTTTTGATATTTTAAGTTTGTGAGGTCAATGATTTTAATTTTGTCTTTAATAAAATCAACATTTTATTCATATGGATATCCAAGATGGCCTCCAAAATGGCTGCCAAAATGAATCTTTAACTATTGATTTAAGCTCAAAGAACAGTTAAGAAGAGTGATTTTGGAGACAATGTCTAGGTTTTAGGAGTCAAAGGTTTCATTTATGTCTAAATCTGAGTCATCAAATAATTGCTTTTTATAGAAATCCAAGATGGTCCCCAAAATGGGTGCCAGTAACAAGTAAATTTTGATTTAAGCTCAAAGAACAGTTTATAACAGTAATTTGAGACCATGTCAAGATTTTCAGTTATGTCTAAAACTATAACTAATTCCTTTATCTGGATCCAAGATGGCTTCCAACATTGCTGCCGAAGTGAAAATATGATTTATTATCTAAACATAAAGAGGAGTTAGTACATTAATTTTTTAAATTTTGTCTTTATTAAAATCAACAATCATTTTATTCATATGGATATCCAAGATGGCCTCCAAAATGGCTGCCAAAATGAATTCATATAACTATCCATTTAACCACATAGATCACCAAGAACAATAAGCAATATTTACTTTAAGGAGGTCAAGAATTTCAGTTATCTAGAGCTATGCTATGAAACAATCTGTGATTAATATCAGAATTCAAGATGGATGCCAAAGTGTTAATATTATAAAAGGTCAAATAAGAACAAACAATTACATGAAAATTTGTGAAATAAAATCTTATGATCATCGCATTAGCAATATTACTGTAATTTGCCTTCCTTTCCCTTAGTTTTGTTGTGGGTCAGTATCATATACATTGACTATAGAAAGAAGTAGGCTGCCCATAGGAAGAAGTAGACTATTGGATGGAAAAGATCAAGCACAAGAAATTCCTCAAAGTCAAGTGTATCATACACCAAAAAGAGTTTGATGAAGATAAACATTTTAGTCAGTCCTCAAAATCGTGACTCTGCAGCCATTTTGGTGGCCATCTTGGATATCAAAATAAAGGAATTATTTTATGACTTAATTATAGACAAAATTGAAATTCTTGGCCTCTTAAACCTCGACACAGTCTCCAAAATCACTGTCCTTAACTGTTCTTTGAGCTTAGATCAATAGTTACATATTTATTGCAGCACCCATTTTGGTGGCCATCTTGGATTTCTATAAAAAGTAATTATTTGATAACTTAGATTTAGACATAAATGAAATCCTTGGCCCCTACAAAATAGACAGAGTCTCCAAAATTACTCTTCTTAACTGTTCTCTTAGCTTAAATCAATAGTTACATATTCATTCATTCATTTGGCATCCATTTTGGTGGCCATCTTGGATTTCTATAAAAAGTAATTGTTTGATGACTTAGATTTAGAATTAATGAAATCCTTGACCCATAAAACCAAGACATGATATCCAAAATCACTGTTCTTTGAGCTTAAATCAATAGTTACATATTCGTTTTGGCACCCATTTTGGCGGCCATCTTGTATTTCTATGAAAAGCTAATTATTTGATGACTCTGATTTAGACATAAATGAAATCCTTGACTTTAGAACTGTGACATGAGTTCCAAAATCACTGTTCTTAACTGTTCTTCGAGCTTAAATCAATGGTTACATACCGGTATTCGTTTTGGCACCCATTTTGGTGGCCATCTTGGATTTCTATAAGAAGTAATTGCTTGATGACTTAGATTTTGGCATAAATGAAATCCTTGACGCCTAAAACCTTGACATAAGTCCTAAAATTACCGTTTTTGCATCTCAGTGTGCTTAGATATACCCACTCTTATATTGTAACACGTGCACCGGCGGCCATTTTGAAAAGTGGGTGATAACACCCATTTAGCTACAACTGTTGCAATGCTATCACATAGTTTCTTACTCTAGAGGTCTTAACCTTTCCAAAAATCACTATGGCGATTATTCCCCTGATTTGATACCGATAACCTAAATTTTGGGGTGAAGCTGATGGCCTAATCTGACAGAGCAAAAAAACAACTTCAGAACTGTTCAGAACATGGTTTGGAACACAAAATCTGGTATATGTGACATCTCTACTTATCTTCTTTGTTATTCTTGATAACTGAAAATGGTATAACAATGAGACGATAAAATAGTAATTTAAAGAGAAATGCGAAATGGGCCAATGGATAAGTGACTTTTTGCATGGGTTATTGTTATCATGCACGGTCAGGTCAGGTCCAAAAGCTGTCACATTAGACCACCTTAAGATGCCTATGCGGAATAGATACATATAGTACAGTACGGTACATTACGAAACAGTACAGTACATAAAGTACAGTACAGTACAGTAAAGAAAGAACGCATAAATCCAGTAATAAAAGCCCACTTATAATGACATGTATAATTGTCATTTCTCACAACATTTTAAGGAAATTCCAGGCATTACAGTATACGGGTTGATCAAAAAGTTATACACATTGTTTTATACAGACACTTTTATTAGGTTTATATCTTTGAAAACATTTTATTTCTTTTTAATCAGCCCATATACATTACGTATAATGAATATTCAGGATTCAATTTTTGTCAACCCCACTATTAATGCCTCAGTCACATTCGATCTACATAAACCGTATGGCGACCGTAGCTTCCCAAAATTGAGAGAAATATGCAGCATAAAATATAGCGATAAGCAGTACGATGTAGATGTTCCATATCGATTTTTTGAAGCTACGGCCGCTGTAGAGCAAATGTGATTGGGGTTAAGCCTCATTGGGTGTATCAAAACAACAGCATGTGACATTTTATGTACTGGTACCCACATGATAGTAGATGAGTAGAACATAGAACAGCTAGTTGTTAGTAGAGCAAATATTTAACATAAAAGCACTTTGAAGCCAAATATTCATCTCTGTTATTAATTGCATTAAAAAAATGGCTTTTAGCAGACATTTTCTTATAATTTTGTAAAGGTAGAAGCATTGCTTTGTATATTGGCTGCTCAAAGTTGTATGACTTATAATACAGAAAAAGTTTTACCACATGGTAATTTATTTCAAGTGGTTACAATAATGTAACAATTTGTTACTGATGCAGATTGTATTACACATATAATGTCAAAATCGAACCACCTGGTATCTGGTGACATGAAATATAAACATATTCATTCAAATAAAGTACTATGGTTTACTCTCAATTCGAACATGACTGTATTCAATAACCCAGTTAATACGTGTAATGTGTGACGTCATAACGATGGATCGTAGAAATGGCGGACCATGATGAATATTCGAAACAATTTGGTGAGTTTTCATGTTCGAATCGTAATATAGACCTCAGAGCAGGGGTAATATCTTCGAATACACCCCTTGGGGCTAGGCACAAAAGCTAGGCAGAAAACGTTTGTGCCTAGCCCTGCGGGTTGTATTCGACGATATAACCCCTGCATTTCTTAATTAACACATTTATGGAAAAAGGATGAACAGTCCTATTATGCACTATACTAGTAACATTACCCACTATGTCATGGATATAACGGAACCTAGAGACAAAAAATGGAATCGCGAGATAGCTTTTCTCCTGGATATGAAAACTAAATGCATTATGGGACTGTCCTACCTCTCTTACTATATCTTACCATGAGAAAGTATTCGTGCGCTGATTTTTCTGGAAGATGACCAGACCAGCTGAGGTAACCCCCAACTGAATTTCTTGGTTACTCTGATCCTGAAATATTCAAACAAAATAGTCAGTTTTTAGATTTCTCAAACAATATTTTACATTTCTCAAGAGCAACATTTCACATTTTCAATCAATATTTCACATTTTCAATCAATATTTCACATTTCTCTAACAATATTTCACATTTCTAAAACATTTCACATTTCTTGAACAATAGTTTACATTGCTCATCCATATATTTCTCGTTTTATATTTTCCAGATATTTCCCCAAAATTAGTGATTTTCTCAACACAGATTTTCACACATTCCACATTCCCTATATCACTTATTTGTTTCATATATTTCAATATAATCTTCTACATGCTATAGTTAATTCAATATCTTTGAAGCAAAAAATAACACAAACTTCAATTCTAATTTACATTTTATTTTACTATTTCAATAAGGCAAAGTGATTAAAAAAAATTATTAAAAAAGATATTAGCAAACAGAATATATAATACAATCTTGAACAAAAAATAAAGACACACGTGGCAGATTTAGATCTCACTCTATAAGCCAACATATATTGCAACACAAAAAAGCATTTAGATTTAACATAATATTATAAGTACAATCTTACTTAAAACACACTGTGTTTCAGATTTAGCTGAGAAAATTAAATAAACAAAAAAAAAACAAAAATAATATAAGATACAATAAAAACATTGTTAATACAAAATATCAATACAAAAAAGTAATATCAGCCCTATTTGGTATAAAACTCATATTCAATACCTCCCTAAATAATTTCTATGGTTGATTGGTTTTGATGCCATGGTTACATTACATCCCATTTCACATGTAATGTTTATGTCAATAAAAGTGTCCGAAAAGTCATTCTATTTTCAGAACATATGCGTTATTGCCTGAGTTAAAGTGAACATGCCAGCCTGAGAGCAGATTGTGCCAACCTTGGGGATGTTTAGTCCTAATAGGGTCTTTATCACTAGAGTCGTATAAATATTTATTGTTAAACATTTGAAAACAAGGCTACATTGTAACAAAATGTCACCATGGGTTACATACAGTAACAGAGTTCAAAATGATTTGATGATAACCCGAATACTTTGTCAACCCATCATTCTAATTCCACATTTTGGTTAACGTGGTAGTGTATTGGAATTAGTGGACATTTGAAAATCAAGAATTTGGAGTCACATACTATATAGTTTTCTTTCAAACTTATTGTATTGGAATCAAAAATGTACCTTCTTGAAGGTATGTTGTTTTCAGGCAGAGTTCCACAGAGCACCTTGTTTTGTTGACATTGATGTGCCTACTTGGCAGATGACATAATTTCCGTTCAACTTCAAACATCCGGTGGAAAATTACGGTTTTATGCCCCCTGGTTGACCCCAAATGAAATCATTAATGTCATTTTTTAAAATATCGATGAAAAAATTCCCTTCAGTCACCGGGGCAATATCAAAACAGCCCATGGTATAAAACCTATATCCACTCCCTCCCTAGTAATCTTCATATCCACCTCATGTACAACTTTAACATTTTGCCTGATTTTGTATTTGATGCATTTAGATTGGAAAGTAACACCTTGCCTACTAATGAAAAAATCACCTTTATCTATGCTTTTATCTATTAGCTATTAATCTCAGAGGAATGCAACTGACAACTTATTAGAGTCACAAAATATTGCCTCGGCTTTTTAAATCAATAATATTAATCAAGTCTTCAAAACTATTTTTAAGGCAAGACTGACCAATGTTTTGTGGATATAGACTAGTGTTTTATAGTATGCTGTTCTAGAAATCAATCTAACCCCTAAAATGTGTATGGCAAATTATATTTCTAATACAATCACCAAAATAAATAAATACAATAAATCAAAACCTATTAAGAAGTAAAATGAAATATAAGCCGGGTCAACAAAATTTTCATATTTCATAGTAGAACGATAGCCAAAACAAATATTTCTGTCCTGTATCTCAATAGTTTTTATTACTTATAAAATGCTAACTATTGTTGTTCTCACTTTACAGATATCAGATTCTCAAAACATCGTTAATAACAGCCTGTATAATTCAATTATTTCAGATAATGTGGATCTGGCAATGATAGGGCTTGTAATTCATGATATTTATGAAATAATGAGACTGTATTTTATTGGCTAAGCATACATGTAATTACCAACCCCAAAGAAAATGTTCACAAAAATGAAATTATTTTTATCAGATAATGTGTAAGATGGTTTACAGACCTGAAATGTGCAGTAGAAAAAGCACTTGTGTACAAGTAGGTATTCATTAAGGGCCCAGTCTTAAAAATGACACGCTATAGTAAAATATTCCAACTTAAAACATATTAGAAATTCATTTGTACAATTGTGAGATCGGAAATAAAATTTATTTATTTATTTATTTTCCTCAATATTGAATTAAAAGAAATTTCAATACTTAACATTAATTCATAAAATCTGATTTTCACATTTTGATTTTCAAACAAGGAGACATATGGCCCACCCATATCGCCAATATTTTGCTTTTTCAGACCAGGCCCCTGAAGATACCCTAGTGAGGAATAAGCAAGCATGACGACAGCACACGGCAGCCAGCAAGCTGGTTAAAACCTTACCCTTACCCGAGCCTGATGTAGATCAACACCATACATGTCTAAACGCTTTGCCTTATCTAAGAAGTTGTATTCCGCATCAGCCGGGGTTTGACCTCTGAAAAAACATGGTGTCACCATGGTAACCAAGCAAACAAAGACAGGGATGGGTATACTGGGTTTCTAAGAGGCCGTATTCCACAGCTGCTAAAGTTAGCAATCTGAAAAATACTGTGTTACCATGGTAACCAAGCAAACAAAGACAGGGATTGGTTAGTTCATTATCTAATAAATGTATGGAGGGAAGTTATGAACGACAATGGTAAATGCTGAAATGCATGGAAAGCAGAATGTATTTAACATTAGACCATATCTATCCTTGCTTATACACTTACAGCATATGACCACACATGTACATCAGTGTTCCATTTAGGAATTTCTCCCAGTTGGGTGATAAATTTGAATTTTACGATACTTGGAGAACAATAGACTTATGGAATTCTGAACCAAAGTTTCTGTTCATCGCCCTCTTACTAAACAAAAATAAATAAAAAACACAGGTCTCCACCTTAATTTTTCATGATTTTTAGATTTTTCAAATGGGTGCTAATGGATTTTCAACTGGGTGAAAAATAATTTCTCAAGTGGGCGCAGCACTGCAGCTCCAGGTTTCAATAATACAGGAAAGATTACTGCGAAATGTATGTGTAGTTAATACTAGGGAGTATAGATAAGGGAAGATAGGAACAAGCAGTACTTCAGTTACTATGACAACCACATAGAAATAAAGCATTGGATTATACAATAACCTACCCTGCCATGCGAGAATCATAACAGAACAAAATAAAATATTACAGCATATAAAGTGTTGTGAAAACACAACTGTCATTTGGGATTATGTAAAAAGATCATTTTTACAAATTGGAACCAGTGACCACTGAATACCAGCCAAAAATACAGATTCATTATTTCAGTTACGGTGATAAAATGGATGCAATAAGTAGTAAATGCAACCATCATTCCGCTGTTTATTGCATCCATATTGTTACAATTACGAGGGTTGTCCCATAAATCGTGAACTAATTGATATGAGACCAATAGTTGTCATTAATAAACGCTGAAATTTCATCAGTATGCATCCAGTATCTCAACCTGAATTGATCAACTTTGTTATGATTCGAACATGGCTATTAGTAGTAACATGTAGATAACATTTAACAATTTTCCCGGCGCCGTATAAGCTAACATAGGGTGGTGCATCTGTTGTGTTGTTTTGGGTCAAGGTCACCGCTGGGTCATCTTACCCCATAGCATGCGGAAGCTTCATATGGATCTATTCCATAATAGTCCATGTCTTTGGCAGTCATTAGGAAATTCATTTCCGCTTTTCCTGGAGAGAACCCCCTATAATATTTCAAAGTAGACATAAGGTTGAAACATGCAATGTCTGTATGATGGTTGATCCATAATAAGTGGGTATTTTCTCCGGCAGGAATGTCCCTTGTAGCAACTAAAAATACCACCATTTAAAGCGCATCCCTTGTTTATCTCCCAGTCATTCTGCTGCCTGCAGCTATAAATGTTGGTTGTTTCAAAAGATTTATATCTGGAAAGATATTTCTTTGATATTGGTCTAGAATATAATATACTTATTAGACGCTTTAATTGAAATTGATAGCACAATGCTTATCACTTTGCTTCTGAGCCTCTATATTTTAAAGGGTAAATAGCCTAGTATTACCCCACGAGGTCATATCTGAACATTTATCTGTTAATCAATACACTCAGTGAATGATCTTAAAATCATCATCACCTTAATATACAGTAAAACCTCTCTACATTGAATACTGCTGGAAAAGTGTTCATATTGTAATCATCAAAACATGTGATCCATAAAAAGTGTTCACATTGTAGCAAATTCTTTTTAAAGAGGTTTTCACATTATGCAATTTCACATATACAGGTTTTACTGTATTGGGATAATAATCTTAAAGTGTTCATAAATACAAAATTTACTATGTTAAGCTATTTTCATGTGTTCACAAACACAGGTTACTGTATTAATATACAGGTGTTCATGTAAAAAGGTTTTACTGTACTGAGCTACATAAAGGTGTCCACATACACAAGTTTTACTTTATTGAGCTACATAAAGGTGTCCACATACACCAGTTTTACTTTATTGAGCTACATAAAGGTGTCCACATACACCAGTTTTACTTTATTGATCTACATACCGGTGCTGCCGATGCAACATAGCTACATCCTTCTCGAAAGCTTCAGTTTGACCTGGAATGAAGCGGAACTCTGAGAGATATCCTCCTGTGTGGTCTTCAGCACTGAAGTCACCTAATTCAGCTGGAAATAAAAAATAATATTGAGCTTCTTCAAAAGGTACAATTTTGAGCTCAATTTTGCAAATATAATTAAACTTCATTGATGCATTCCAATTTTAGATGCCGTTGAAAGAAATAATTGTATCCATGTTTGAATTAATTTTTGAAAAAATAATTGGGTTAGCCTTTTTTATATTTTCAACGTAGAAGTATATAAGCACTCCTTCCAGATATTTGCAAGTTAAAATTAGTGAATTCTGCAATTGAAAAGGGCCAATTCCACAAAATACATCATGAGGAATTCATCAAAATTTAAGATATGGCAAATCTGTGTCCTAAAGACATGTTGCCCAGTTCAACCCAACCTCTTTAAAGGACAAATTATGAAAATAACGAGACTGGCCAGGCAGAAATCATAATATCAATAGTGCATTAAGACAGTTAACATATTTTAACATGTACAAATTAGAAATTAAGCCGTACTTTATGGTCCATTATAATGTAAATAGACCTGTTTAAAACACCTATTTAAAGAAAATATTAATGACAAATTGACTAAAAATGACAGCTCATACCAATAGTACATGAAGACATAACAGCATTTTTTCATATAAAATTAAGACTCTAAACTGTACCTTAAAAAGATTAATTAAGCTCTAAGCAACCTCTAATAAGGAAAAATGGCACTTATTAAGGAGTAACTTCATCTTAACTAGACAGGTAATTTGACACTTCATTAGATCAGCTCACAGCATCAAAATAATTCCATTTTTCAAGATTAGGGCAGCGATTGCAACCTGTTCAAGAAAATAAAGGGTTTACACATTGAACAGCGATTCAACCATCGTCAAATAAAACCAATCAAATTGCTTATTTTCATAATCTCTTTTTTTCTAGAGAAGCAAAATGATCTCTCCCTAATTAAATCCATGACATGAGTGACATTCTAAGCAGAATCAACTAACAAATATATTGATCTAGAAGAACAATTAACTAAATTTTATCTATAATTGAATTCTAATTATCAAGGCCAGTCATCTCTAAGTCTAAATACTGTATCCAAATACAAACTATTTTGAGCTGATAACTTCCAATTTATTGTATTAACTTATTATGAACTGCTAAATTCAAATATATCCAATATTCTAGGTGTTACCCATTGTTACCCCCTCCCTTATTTGTCTTTAAAACACATCTTTTTGGAAATTGACAAAAACAAAATCATTTTAATTTTTCTTTATTTACAGTAGAGGGATCTTATTGATTAATTGTTGATATGAAATATGAATTACACTCAGTCATAAGATCATCATCATTAGATCAATTCATTAAAAAAAAGAATTGCAATAAAAATGACACAAAATATTACTTTAAAAATATTTTGTTCAATTTCAATAATAATCATATGCAGTGTCTTCATTGGATACTATATTGGAAGACTCAAAAGTGTTGGATCCTTTACATCAGGAAGTTATCAATTTTGGATTCCCTCAGCAGAAAGAACTATAAAGAATCAACAAATAGCACGAAACATAAACAAGGTTATCATATTTACCTATAGAAGAAGTGGGTCTAGTTTTTTTGCTGAATTGTTCAACCAGAACCCAGATGTTTTTTATATGTTTGAGCCCCTGAAGGCCATTGAAGATAATTATGACATTAAAGACCTCCCACTCATCGGACCTCCCTTCTTACGACAAATCATGGATTGTCATTTTCATAACAACACATTTCTATCACAAGTAAAAACCATGAAATATTGGAACTGGAAACAGATTTTTAGGAATATGAACCAACTAGAAGAAGTTCAAAATAAATGCAAACATGCAAAAATAGTTGTTGCAAAGATAATCCGCATGGAAAATATTGCTCAAATTATTCCGTATTTTGGAAAAGATACCGCGATTATTTTCTTGACGAGAGACCCACGAGCTATCCTCAACTCCCGAAACCATGAGAATGACAAATATATGAAGATGTCATTGGATAAAAAAAGACAAGACATGCTCAGTGTATGTCAGAACACCCTAATGAACATAAATATAATACAGAACCTAAACACTGCCATAGAAACAATGCCTTTAGTAAAACAAGTTCTGTTTAAAGATTTTGCATATAATACTCTTAACAACACAAAGTTGTTATACAAAGCCCTAAAGATAGCTTTCAATGAACAGATTAAGCAATGGATAGAAATCAACACTATTAAGGATTCAAACTATATATGGAACCACACGCAATTCATCCACAATACCTATAAAGTGGAGAACCCACTTAAATTCAGCTGAACTTAACATGATTCAAAATATTACAGACTGTGCTAAAGTAATCAGTTTGCTTGGCTTTGCAGTGATATAACAACAGTACTAAAAGGTATTGTAAACTGTGCACAAATGACTGGCAAATTGGACATCTGCTGAAAAATGATCATGATGTAACCACAGTCAGCGTTATAAAAATGTTTCTAATCATCTCTTTCCAATTAAGTAACTGTGGAGTGAGGACTGACTTTAATTGCAAAACGCCTATTAGGCGGCTGTAGAGAGATAACTGACTTACATTGCACTGCAAAACTTGCCTATAAGGCGGCTGTAGAGAGATAACTGACTTTAATTGCACTGCAAAACTTGCCTATAAGGCGGCTGTAGAGAGATAACTGACTTACATTGCACTGCAAAACTTGCCAATAAGGCGGCTGTAGAGAGGGGATTGACTTACATTGCACTGCAAAACTTGCCAATAAGGCGGCTGTAGAGAGATGATTGACTTACATTGCATTGCAAAACTTGCCAATAAGGCAGCTGTAAAGATAGGATTGGCTTACATTGCACCGCAAAACTTGCCAATAATGTGGCTGTAGAGAGGGGATTGACTTACATTGCATTGCAAAACTTGCCAATAAGGCAGCTGTAAAGATAGGATTGGCTTACATTGCACCGCAAAACTTGCCAATAATGTGGCTGTAGAGAGATGATTGACTTACATTGCATTGCAAAACTTGCCAATAAGGCAGCTGTAAAGATAGGATTGGCTTATATTGCACCGCAAAACTTCCCAATAATGTGGCTGTAGAGAGGGGATTGACATACATTGCACCACAAAACATGCCAATAATGTGGCTGTAGAGAGATGATTGACTTACATTGCATTGCAAAACTTGCCAATAAGGCGGCTGTAGAGAGAAGACTGACTTACATTGCACCACAAAACATGCCAATAATGTGGCTGTAGAGAGATGAGTGACTTACATTGCATTTCAAAACTTGCCAATAATGTGGCTGTAGAGAGGGGATTGACTTACATTGCACTGCAAAACTTGCCAATAAGGCGGCTGTAGAGGGGGGACACACGAGTCTCGACTCAAGAATGTCCTTCTTCAGCTGTAGAAAGAAGTGGTACCTACAAGAAGAAACAACAAAACAGAAATTACACCAGTGATTACACCACTATCAAATAAACTAGACAGTGTGAAAAATACATTTGGTTTTAGTGAATTTAATGATAGTTAGTCAAAATTAAGCGTTTTGTGTCAAATTCAGACTTCCTAGACTTTGACTCACAAAATGGTCAGCTCCGACATTGCTGACCACGTTCCTTCCACCCAAACCACATTCTCACAATGCGAATATCTTTAGTTGCAAACCACCAGTTCCTCTCTCCTAGACTCATTCCTCCACATCGCTGACCATACAGTGCTGTGAAAATGTGATTCGGTTGGAAGGAACATGGTCAGCGAGGTCAAAACTTCAAAGCACATTTTCCTATTATTGTTGTATTGTATTGTATTATGTTAATATGCCATAATGGCTACTAGGACAGTGTCTGTAATTCTGCTCATTTGTCAACCCAAAGTGCCAACGATGACCTTCTTTTTTAAGATATTGGTATCAAATGTGAAAAAAATTGGCTCACTTAAAAGTAATCAGCACGAATCCATAATGAAAAAAATTTCACCCTGCATTTCAAGTTTTGTCATTTTCAGAAAATAAGGTTTATATCAAAGACTATGTAAGTTACATCTAACATTACAGATTAATAGACTAGACTAGACTAAACTTGATTTATGTCATTAATATATTCAAAATTCAAAAAGTGATGTCAGATTTAAAGTTTACATGTAAGATTGCATCGAGGAATGTGTTTTAAAAATCATTTATCATTTTACTTTACTTTAAAAATGTGACTTCTAGATCGGTGAGTTTCCCAATAGACCCCATGTTATAAAACCTGAAAAGTGAAACATCTTTTCTTTTGTTTGACAGATATTTTCTCGTTCCGCACATATTTTCATTTGTACTATTATATCAGACACATCTGGGTTATATGAAAACTGAACTACTAAAACTGATGAATATTCAAGTTCAAGGGAACTTTCTACTATCTCTGCAATGTTATCTGACCAAAATTAGCCACCTGGTGGTGTAACTTCCTCCTGACATCTGGGTTATTAAAGGGTTTATGAAACATTCTGAGGTAATTCAGGATCTGAAGTACAGACTGACCCTTTAAGAATCAATAATTCTGGCTTGATAGCATAAATGATTTAAAATGACAAGTTACAGAGTTCTCCGAGGATTTTTTCTCGTGTAGGTTCAAAACTCTTATTTTTACAATTCAGACGAAAATTGGTCAAACTGTGACGATCTTTCATGATCATTCTCATTATCAAGTGGGTGCAAATGGATTTTCAGGTGTGTGTCAGCCTGTTTTTAAAATATCAGGTGGGTGCTGCGCCCACTTGCTTTAATGCTGGGGAGATCACTGAGTTTGCTTAATCTGAACATTTGCATTCAAAATCCAACTTAAGATATTGAACAAATATTTCACTCTATTGAGGTGAATACCTGTACATCTTTCACAAGTGATATTCCACGAAGCCCGAAGGGCAAGTGGAATATCACCTTGTGAAAGTGCTACAGGTATTCACCGAAAATAGAGTGAAATATTTGTTTTATTATATCACTGTCTAGCTAAACATCCCTAATATTATTAAGTCATAGGTTAACATTGAAATACATTGAATCTACTCGGTTCGTCTGCCATTTTGACTTACACTGAACTAAATCATTTACACTGAACGAAAACAAATTCTTTGAAAATTCCCGGGAGCGTGAGATATCGCTAGATATCTCACGGTTGTCTTATCTGATTAGCATTGCCATTGAATATCGCCAGATATCCCACGACATGTGACCCGGTTTTGACCAATCATACTGTCGCTAGCTAGATAGTGATATAATAAATATTATTATTCTATGCAATCAAGAACAAAGGAGGAGCATTAATACAGTATGATGATGATTATTTTAAAAACCCTCTTCTGACATTAGTATAAATATGTAAATAAATTTCTATATTACAAATTGTTATGGAATTCCCTTTGCAGGATGCACTTACTGGAAACTCATTTGTCTTAACTGATGTTGCCATAGTAACGTTATTTAAAGATAATTAAAATTCAAGAATTGTGATCCAAATTATTTTATAATAGCCTCGATTATACAGAAATGAATGGGGAGAAATTATAGGCTTAAAAATATATTTATTACTTTAAACTTACCTTGTATATTCTTCGGCTAATTTACTAGGATCAGATACATAAAACTTGACACGGAACCACAAGGTATATGGTGGACCCACTGAAACAAGACACATAAACTGATGACACAGAAATATTAGGTGTCTACATACTCTAGATAGAAAACATTGGGAATAATCTGGACACATGTATCATTTATATTGCAAATTGAACACTACAGTGAGACTACATCATGCTTATAAAGCAAAGATGCAATATCAAAACTAAAAAACTTTTTTTCTGAAAAACATTATCATTACTTGGAAATAACGGGAGATAAAGTAGAGATATATAATATTTCAAATACTAGAATAGTAGATTTTACAATATAAAAGTTAAACCTAATCATATGCCTCATGAGGGAAAAAACATATACATGATAATGTACATTACATGTACAGGGTGATCATTAAGTTCTGGGAATTGGTCTGCCATTTCAAGATTTCTCAACCATTTGAGTTGAAATTTTCAGCAGGTGTACATTGTATAATTCTGAATTGACAAGCAATGTTTCATATACATATCACATCTACAATTTATTTTATTGTAATTACAAAAAAAGTAAAAGTGGTAAGTGGGTCAGCAAATTTTGACTGATGTTAATCTGAAAATTTCCTGCCAAAACATATTCAACTTGCCCAGATGGTTGCTTCAAACTACTTGTACTAGAGGCAGAACAGTACTCTTGAAGTCATTTATTCAGAAGTATTCTTCATTGCTGAGAGGATCATTTCATTTATAATTGTTTCCATTAGCCTGGACGCACGTGCGTTGTTGACAAACTTAGTCCATAAAGTTGTGTTCCAGTCCTCCCTTTGGTATCCTTTGAAGATTTGCCCAAGCCGTTGAAATCAGTCCCTCATCGGAATCAAACTTATGACCTCTCATATAATGCTTTAGCACCCAAAATGTAGTGAAGCCTAATGGTGCTCCATGTGGTGAATATTGTCTGGTGAATATGGGGCAGTAATAACTTGTGTGAACCCCAATTCTTCAAGAGTAGTATGGGCAGCTTGAGTTGTGGGAAGGAGCATAGTCATAATGGAAGATAACTCCCCGCTATTTTGAGTCACGATTGTGACTTTGAGATGCTGATGAATGATACAAAAATAGAGCAAAGTACACTCTTATATAACAATACAGATGTTACTTTAGAAACTAAAGTAAGAAGTATTTGAAAATATGAAAAATATGAAAAATCACAGAAATATGTCCACCAAATAAGTATTTATTAATCATACTTTTGGATCAAGCAAAATTTGAATTTATTTTTATTTTACTTGACCCGCTACGCCATTTGTCATGTTGCTATAGTAACAATAATTATCCATTGTGACATCAGATGACAATGAGACTGTTTTATCCAACCCAAAATTACATTCCCCATTTACCTTGAAAATTTCAAGTAAATTGGTTTAAAAATAATGAAATGACAGATAAATTCCCAGAACTTAGTGATCACCCTGTACATGTACCATTATGTGACTTACATCTAATTTGTTTCTTCACTGTTTTAAGAGGGTCCAGCCACCTCTGAAAACAAAAAGGGTAAAAGGTTCATTATGTAAACAAAAATGCAAATGCAACCATAAATATAGCAGTTTCATCCTGTCAAATATGAATGGTGCAAGATGATGAGCCTCCTGTCCGCCATGGTCCATGTTACCTTTGGTGATCACAAATAAGGTTTATTTGAAAGACTGGATACTATGTACTTAAGTGGCACATATCATTGTGACATACCATTGATCAAACAAGTATGACAAAATGTCACCACCTAGTTGCTCACAATATTACTAGTTCAACCTTAAGTCAGATATGAATTTCTGAGAACTTGTAGATTTTATTGCCATTAATCATTATAAGTACATATCATACATGAGGGACCCAATCGCCAGTGGCATTATACTTGTAGATGATTTTGAAAATAAAAATTGGTCAACTTGAAGCAAGTTGAAAAATGCCTTTTTTACCCTGAGAAGGTCATTCAAGGTGAAATCTCAGATCTAAAGTCAGATTTGAACTTCTGAGAACTTGTAGATGATTTTGAATAAAAAATTGGTCAATTTGAAGCAAAGTTGAAAAAAGACCCTTTTGACCTCGAGAAGGTCACTGAAACTTACCAAAGATTCAGAGGTTGGCTGAGCTGCCTCTGAATACTGGAGTCCAAAGTAATCTTTTTCTATCAACTCCAGATGATCGAACACTTTGTCAAGCAATGCCTGGGCCTTGGACCGCTTCTGAAATATGAAAATTGAAAAGTGAAGACCAAATTCTACAATAGGAAGGTTTTTGTAATACGTTATCAAATGATGTCTTGAACATGTGAAATGGAAATGTAAACATTGAAAGGCCATCAAATGTGAAGGCAATAGGAAAGTTAAACTTTGAAATGCTATTATCAAGCAATACCTGCACCTTGGACGGCTTCTAAAACGTGAACATTGAAAGGAAATTCTGCAATGTTTTTCAAGCAATGCCCTGAACATGTAAAATGGTAATATAAACATTGAAGGGCCTTCAAATATGAAGGTTAAATTCTGCAATAGGGAGGTTAAATTTGCAATAGGGAAGTAAAATTCTGCAATAGGGAGGTTAAATTTGCAATATGGAGGTTAAATTCTGCAATAGGGAGGTTAAATTTGCAATGCTTTATCAAGCCATGCCTGGGCCTTGGACCACTTCTAAAATGTAAACATTGAAAGGCCTTGAAAAGTAAAGACTCTAATTAAAACATCCAACCACTCGATTGCTGATTTGGTAATATCTGTGAGTGGAAGATTCATGAAATATGAAGATTGAAGAGGTTTTCTACTGAAATATGAAAAATTAAAAGATTTCAAATTAACCCTGGATACTTCCCTTTTTCTCAGGAAAATAAATATGTCACCCTTGATATGATTTGAACCTTGGGAATGAATACTAATTGAAAATTCATATGACTAATCACCGCATATCCAGACAGAGTATAATCTTATTTCGTGATCCATAATTATGGATAATTTATAGGACTATCATTTCCCAAGGGTGCGATTCTCTTTCATAACTCAATTGCCCAATCAAAGCATAGATAAATTGTCACAATAAATCGCAATACTAGGAACAGTATTGATCAGAAATTATTACGGCTCAATATCAAAAATGTAATACTCATAGAAGTGAAGCTGTAATTGAGTTTTCAAATAGATTGGTATTCATCAAAGTTACATGACATGGTCAAATCCGCATAAATAAACCCTCAATGACCATCTATTTTTTACTTTTGCAACATTCTCTAAGATTTGAGTCACAGTACAAGTACAGTAAAACCTGTACATCAAAACACCTCTCTAATCTGAACACTTTTGCTACCATTTTTATTTACTTATCTATCCCCATATAAGAAAACTTGATATGTGAACACCTCCAATAGTGGCTCGTCCTAATGATGTCTGAATTAGACAGGTCTGCTGTACTTCAAATATCGATAGAACTCTTTTAGACAATCGTACATCGTGATTTTTATCAGGGCAATGATTACTTGCTTCCAGGCTGATCGAATGTAAATCCAATTGCAAGAGTTCTCATTCAAAATAGAATATGGTACTTCCCGCATTTCCATTTTCTTTGCCAAATCTATACTTTACAAGACAATTACTCTTTTTATTGTAATAACATTATATCTTTCAGACCTGAGTATTCATATGGCTTTTATTCAATATTGATCAAACCTGCAATGCATCTGCTTCAAAATTATCTCTCCTGTTATTAAAATGGAAGAGACTGTTTCTCTTGCTTAACTTTACTTTAACTATGGTAACTCAAGCTTTTTTGGTTTACGAGAAGGTATCTGATTTTATATTATATACAGGTATTTCAAACAAATCTGACTTCAAACATAAAGACATAGACAAATTGGTAACGCAATTTAGTACAGTTTCCATATAAAAATATGTTGGTCATCATGCATGCCATTCATCTAATATCATTAATAGCTGCATTGATAAAAATATCAAAACCAAAGGAAAAGGGGTAAAAAAACTGTATCTAAACTAGAACAGAAACCGTTCATACATTGCTTCGTATTTAAGCATTCAAGTGTAATCTAAAAGTTTTTCTGATCATGTATTTATTATTTGGTGCCAACTCTCTGTGAAACATTTAATGACTTTCTTGCAGTTTTCTCTAACAAAACAAAACAATTCATTTCATTTCATTATTTATAAGGAAGAGAAAACAATATTTGCAAAGTTAGATTATAATACATAAAGACTTACATCTATGTCGAATGTTTCCTGTGTGTCGTCAAGGAAACAAATGATGCAGCGAAGAGACCGATTGGTAGAGTTTGGTTCTCGTGCCAGTTCTGAGGCCCTAACATTGTATGTCCCACTGGAGGCCCCCAGCTTCATGGACATCCTGTCCCCCTCTACAAACAGATTTTCACATTATTGTATAATATAAAAGAAATAGGTATCTGAAACTATGTATCATACAAAGCATTACTAAGGTAGATCCATATAGTGATTATGTTTGTGCAATTACCATGGTTACACCCTGATTGACAGGTAAACTTAATGATAAGTTCGGGAAACTGGGCATGTAAGACATAACTGCAATGCTATACCTGCAATGTTGTATCAGTTGAGAGTCGGTATGCTATTTAGCTAAAGAGGAGGAGCGCTCAACATGTGATTGGAAGGTTTTGGGTTTATTTCAAAATTGTATGTAGATATTTACAAATTATTGGAGAATACGTAATTCAAAATCAAAATATTTTGATAAAATTATGTTAGAATGACACTTCCATGATATTATCTATTCAATTTTTTAAAAAATCTGGAACATTAATATATGTGTAACAGGGTTCTGTTTAAAAAAGTGACCACCCCACAAAATAAGTATAGCACAGAGTAATGCCTTCTTTTAGCATATTAGATTGCAATGCCCCTAATCATTTGGATTAGTACTCATGATTTTATTAAACTTCATGACAATTAGAGCATGAAATTTCCAAACAAAAAAATCCTGCATTTGACCCATGGGTGCCATCATGATCTAAGATCTTAAAAAGCAATGTTATATAACAAACAATACTATATACATATTATAATATACAATGATATCTCTTCAGAAATGAGACATCAATCATGCATTTATTGTTCCCTTCATGCAAATTCTGTCGAAATTACCTCCAGGTTTTCTGAATTGGGTGAATTCCCATCGAAGTGTAGCTAATCTGCTCCGGAAAAACATTTTTAATATTTCGCTAAACTCTGCTAAAATTTTTAATCCCAAGCATAACAGAGAAGTATATAATGCAACATAATAATTCGTTTTGTTGTGGTATGTTGTTAGCGCTGTTCTCCGAATACCAAGACGATAATATGTCCATATATATCCATATATATTCCATATATACTAGTAATTTAACTCCAACATGCTTTATTGTTTTTTTGTTAATTATTCATAAGAGTAACTATCTGATCCAGTTTAGCTCTGTTTCCAGCCGGGTAAATGTTGAGTAACAGTTTAGTGGGAAGTGGAACAGAACAGGCAGGGCCATACATCTCATTTAAGAGCGTCTTCTATTGCCAGAGTTGATAATTATGTACCTAACCAGCGGTTTCACTAGAATTTCTCACAACAGGCTTAATAAATGAAAACAACAGGCAAAATTAATGGAAATCATAAATTTAGCGGGTTGACAAGTTCTTAAAAACAACAGGCTATTTTGTGAAAACAACTGATGAAAATCGCCTGTTGCCTGATGCTAATGAAACCCCTGTATAATATAAATAAATGAGCTTTTGCATAAAATCTCTGGACCCATCCTCCTTCCCATATCAAATTTATCTCCATAGGTAGGGTGTGCAAGGAGGGAGGAGGTCATAAAAGTGGGTCATTGTTAGATTTCTTTGAAAAAAGTTGTATACTGATGGTCAGGGCTGATTAAAAAAAAATGAAATTCCCCAAGAGGGGATCGAACCCATTACCCTTTGCATTCGTTTGACTTCACTTCTTAAAAGAGAGCTTCGTCTTCACTCTTTCAAACTAAAATAAACCTGTGAACTCACCGCGCCAATCAGTGTTCGTCGGCCAAATTTGATCGACGTTCTATATATGGTCATTCCTTCTGACGTCATCGTTGAGCCCGGAATTGACCAATGACATGCGCATATTTAATTAGAACGCATTTGGCGTATGTTTCTTAAAGCTCGCTGATTAGTGGAAGAAAGGTCAGCGCTTAGGTCAAAAGTGATTTATTACCCAAACTGTCACCGTTACCTGTCGTGGGGGCGGGGCTACTAAACTGTAATATGGTCTCTACTAGGCAGAGTGTAGTTTAACTAGACTCTGCACGCAGGGTACGAACCCATGAACCTGGAATAATACCAAATACAGTATTCTTAACACGGCTTTTTTCTCAAGTTGGTACAGCAAAATCTCCTTTTCAATATTCTGAACATAATAAACCTATACATAATACTTTTCAAATACTTTTCAAAATCTAAACTGGATGCATGCAGTGCCCTCTTTCATCAACCCTGGGAAGCTCAGTAGTATCTTGTAGTGTAGAAATCATATTAACCAAAGAATCTGCCTGATGTACAATGATTATATTAGGTGCATACAATGCTTCATTTTTGGCAAAAGAAGTCCCTCTCACATTTACATTGTTTGGTAACATTACCCATACCAAAATAGCCTTCCCTCTTGAAACAAAAGGTGTGAATTATCAACTGGGCATATAATTATACATAACAATCATGTTATCTCAGAACATATTCTACTTTTCTAGCTGAGTATTACTTAATATACATGTCTTAGGTTAACTTTCTTTAATTATTGGTAACTTCAAATTGATAATTTAGAAGGATGTGTACAGGTAATTCCAAGTATACAGGTAATTTATACTGTGTAAAGGTGATGAATTATAGACAGGTAACTTAATTATAAATACAGGTAACCTCAATTATCTCTCTGGGATTAATGGTTACTGACCAATACAGACAAGAAATTGTATCTAACCTATGAATAAAATCACATAAGTCAAACAAAGAGGGATTAACAAGGAAATTATATTTTATATTATCCCTTCAACATATTATTAACATTTCAATAAAAAGAAAAAGTCTACATAGACACGCTCAAAAAGAAACTGGATGGTGCAAATCATAACCTAGAGTATAATCTCCAAGTTATGAACACAGATATAACCTTAAATGAAACTTACTTTATTTATAAAATTATATATTATATCTCACAGCAGTGATCATCTTTCAAACATAACATAATAATGACAAGGAATATGAAGGACCGCTAGAAATCAAGGATTGTGTCAGTGGTTATTTTCAATATTTTGATTAGGCCCAAAGGAAAAGGATTCAACAGGTAAGCAGGTTTTATCAGTATGCCATTCAATTAGTGTACTAACAACAGTGGGATCTGTTTACATGGAACAAGATCAAGTTCTGAGATTCCAAGCAAATTGATGTTGTGCCTCTTATCATGAAATTGTACCCTTAACTAGTGTTCAGATTCATCTACTGTAATCACCCTTAAGAACGTAGTGTTGCTTGTGAAATTGGAATGGAATAATGTGAAATACCCTTAAGAAAAAACGCTTGTTTTCTCCTCATGAGGTTAAAAGATGACCTTTTTTAACCACATTTTTACCATTCAAGATATGTAAAAGTGTGGTTGTGGTCACCTGTTTTGACACACATAAAAGTGTGGACCCTGCTGGTATTTCTTCCACAGTTCCAAGAAACATCTTCCCATAGTTTCTCCTCATAATGAAAAAGTGTGGTTAAGGTGTTCATGAAACTATGGAGAAGCAGGACATTCACATTGATATGATTTAAGATTACCATATTGTTAATAGGGGTAAAAAGGGTTAATGGTTGCCATAAAATATTTTAGGATATACCGAACATGATAAGCCAGTGCTATACCTGTTATTCTGGCATCTAAATTGTTTTAAGCATCTTCTTTCAAATATTCCATTATGCATATCGCAAATATGAGAATGTTGTATGATCGAAGCATAGGGAGATTCTTTACAAAATATTTCAGTAAAATGACATAAGGATTAGAGGCAAATGAATGATGCTCCCGGGATTGATGCTCGACTTTTCTATTTAGGTAGATCAGAAGTTTGCATGAATATAAAACAAAGTATTTAAAATTAGTTATTCTAAACTGAAGTTTATTTTGACTGAACTGACTAATCTTATCATGAGACTAATATTAAAGAATAACAGGATGTGTCTGCTGTATTAAAAGGATAGAAATACATGTAATCAATATGTTAAAATATAGTCCAGACATGATTTTATTATTTCTTAGACATCAAAGACTTGAAGAGTCACAAGAATTAAAGTAATACCTGTAGTTAGTGAATTTATTTGAATTATATCAATGTTAATTTTAATAATGAGATTCTAATTCTAATCAAGAGTCTAAATCTAATGATTAAATAAGAAAAGGATGTTGCTGATATGTTTATAAAAACAATAGCTCAATGAGTCAGTTAACTTGTTATTACACATTCCAGAATGTGCTTTGTGGAAAAATTAAGTCCTAAATATCTTTTCAAAAACCTTATATTCTTGCAAATGAGGAAACCCAGCAATGTGATTTTTATTTAACCATTAATATCAGTATATTTTCCATGACATATTTTGTACTTAATCACCCTAAGCCTTAAGGCTACAGTTATATGGACAGATTATTAAAAGCAGTTTTAGTAAAAACTATGAGATTCTGAAAAACACAGTTTAAGTTGATACCAAAGCTTGATAGTTTATTGTTCTATAGCAACAACCCAACTTGATGCATTTTGTGGGAGATATTTATATTCATAATCATGTGATCCTTTTTTCGTAAATTGGTGGAAGTGTATTTTTCTTCTATTTTCAGTGAAGGTCTAACATAACTTTGCCTTATTGTAAACATTTGCAATGTACATTATTGTGCTTGGGGACCATATTTCAGATTTGTAAGGAGTTTTAACTGATAATTCAATCCATCTAAATGATACTTTTCTGTACATTTTGTGCTTAAAAATGTACTAAAATGTGATATCTATCTCGGTGGCATGTTCTGATTGCCTCTGTATGTTCAGTCCAGACTCGTCACTTCAATGTGTCTCTTTTTCAGTACCATTAATAATTATTTGATAATAATTAATTACATGATAAATAATTATAAGTATAATGATTGATCTTGGATGCTAATTTTCATTAAATCTATATCTGATCCAGATCTGAATAATAAACTCATTTTGTCCTAGCTGTGGAACTTAACATTGTTTAACTTATGTAAACATTTAACTTATGTAAACAATTTTTGGTTTGTTGACTTAAAGACCACACTTTCCCCACACTTTTAGTCCACACTTTTTATTATTCATATTGCACATCAC